GAGACTACAACAGCTGAAACGTTGTGAATATGGCAATGAAGATGAGGACAACAGTACGAATAATGTAAATAATATAAGTAATCCCAATACCTCATCTCAGAGATATAGATAGATATATAGAGAGACATAGACATAAAAGCTGAAGCCTACAACGGCCGAAACGTTGTGAATATGGCAATGAAGATGAGGATAACTGTCCGAATAACACGCTGTCTGATGTTATTAAGCAAACCATATAAACTTCAATAATTCGAATTTGGTTTGAAAAAATTGTCAAATTTTAAATAATCAATTTAGATTCCAAAACAAAGCCTGAGTTAAATTTTAGGTGCTTTCATTATTTTTTATTCAAGTTATTTGATGTATTCTAAAAACCATCCATCTGAAGTTATTAAGCAAAACCAAATAATCCCATTTTACTTCAATAAAAAGGTAATAAAATCATCAAAAGTTGATTTACACCTGTAATAGAACAAATAACAAAAAAATGACAAGCCTTTGAATCCTTTTTTTACTTCAGCAGGTTCAATTTCCGTCTGCTTTGCTGTTATATTTTTTGGCCAACTTCATATGATCTAATCTTTACAGTTGACCATAGATTTTCGATCGGATTCAGATCAGGACTTGATAGTGGCCATTCCATTATCTTCTCTTCTGCAAATCTTTTATGCTCAAAGAATTCACAAGTAAGCTTAAATACAGAAGAATGATCATTGTCGTGCATAAATACACATTTCACTTTCAAACTGCAAGACTGGTATATAAAATCGTAATAGCTAGAACTGTTCAGTTTAACTCCTTCATCGATATCAATGCTCCAATAATGGTTTGGTCGATACATCCAGCCCAGATGGTCCAGTAATGGTTTGATCGACAATTCAGCCTATATCATAACACGACCACCTGCTTGTTGCCTTCTTTTAGCCATAGGCATAAATGAATTGATAAAATCCATCCTTTGGTCCTATCCATCAGGGCATCAAATGACATACGAGATTTGTCTGTGAAAATGACATAAGAAAGTCAATGTTCATGTGTTTGCTGGCCCAATATTGAAATTTTTTTCACAGTCCACAAAATGTTCTACGGTCCTTCAGACTTCAATTCAACTCTTTTCAAAGATCTGAGCGATGGTCAAAAAGTGATTGTTTCGCTATAATTGGCTTTAGTTTACGTTCATCTCGAGGAAGCAAGTTCTTAAAAACTTTTCCTTTGCTTCTAGTTCACATGTAAGCTTAGATACACGACAAACATTGTCGTGCATAAATACATATTTCACTTTCAAACTGCGAGACTGGGACTTGTACCATGCAAAGAAATAAAAATCGTAATAGTTAGCACTGTTTAGTTTAACTCATTCGCCAACTTTGAATGGTCCAGCAATGGTTTCGTCTACAATTCCAGCCCATATCATAACACTACTGCCTCCTTGTAATAATCTGTCTATGGATTAATATATATATATATATATATATATATATATAATATATATGCCTTTAAATATAAATAAATATATATATATGTATAATTATTTATATATTATGTGCTTAGTAAAAGTATCAGAATAGAGCTATATATATTATATATATATATATATATATATATATATATATATATATTATATATATATATTATATATATATATATATATATATATATATATTATATATATATATATATATATATATATATATATATATATATATATATATATATATATATATATATATATATATATATATATATATATTTATATATATATATATATATATATATATATTATATATATATATATATTATATATATATATATATATATATATATATATATATATATATATATATATTATATATATATATATATATATATATATATATATATATATATATATTATATATATATATATATATATATATATATATATATATATATATATATATATATATATATATATATATATATATATATATATATATATATATATATATATATATATATATATTATATATATATATATATATATATCATTAAATAATATAGACAATATATTTATCTATTTATATTGAGTGTTTCATTAAATACTTAGACAAAGTTTTGTCTATTTTGGCAAGTTCCATATTGTCTGATACATTAACATTGAAAGACGAAAAAATCCTAGGGAGATTTCTTCACAGATCGCAATTCACAAAGTATTCTACACCTTTGTTCCTTCTCGACTCCCTCAATACCAGCCTTTTCAAAGATCTGAGCATTGGTCAAAAGTGATTGTTTTGCTTTAGTTTACGTTCATCTCGAGGAAGCATGTTCTTAATTTTTTTTTCGTTTCCTTCGAGTTCATAAGTAGGCTTAGATACATGAGAAGGAGTATTTTCATGCATAAATACACACTTCATTTTGAAATTTCGAGGCTTGAACTTGTACCATAAAAAGAAAATCTTGTTCATAAAATCACAATAGTTAGCACTGTTCAGTAATGGTTTGATAGACAATTCCAGCCTATATCATAACACTATCGCCTGCTTCTTGCCTTCTTTTAGTCAGAGGCATGTCTGAATTGGATAAAACCCATCCTTTGGCCCATCCATCAAGTCCATCAAATGTCACTCGAGATTCGCCCGTGAAATTTCTTTTAGAAAAGTCAATTTTCATGTATTTCTTGGCCCAATTTTGACGCTTTAAAATATTTGCTTTAGTAAGATGTTGCCTAGGTTATATTTTCTTTTGACAGATGCCAGTTCACAAAGTATTCTTCTGACTTCTTCAATTCCAGCCTTTTTAAAGATCTGAGCATTGGTCAAAATTGATTGTTTCGCTATATCTCGCTTTAATTTACGTTTATCTCGAGGAAGCAAGTTCTTAAAGCCTTTTCTTTTGCTTCGAGTTCTTGATTTACTTATATTTTCAACATCCTTCTTTATTGTTGGATGATCTCTGCAAAAGTCTTTTAATATCTCCAATGTGGACATACCCTAACTCAATAACTTTCTTATTTTGTTTTTCAGCAATTGTTAGATCTTTCTCTTTACCCATGATTCATCATATATTATGGACAAAAAGAAAAAATAGTTTTTATTAGGTTTCAGAGGTCTTAAGCTAATATTAGTTTAATCTGCATAATAAATTCAGTTAGTCCATTTTCGTAAATTCCAAATATCTCAAAAACTAACCATTAGAAATGACAGAAAATTTACTTAAATATTTTACTAAGGTTGAAAATGGAAGAATTTAAATTTGACAAATATTGGTTCAGAACTTTTTGAGTTATTGAGGTTTATTTGATTCGCATAACTTCAGACAGGCTGTAGTCACAAAAAAAAAAACCCTTACACTGACGACATGACCTCGGGTGTCCTTTCGTTTATATTTAGATTACAAATAAAAAGATTTGAAACGCATATTAACCTCATAAATTTTGAAAACTTATCAACGATAGATTCCGCGAGTTTTATCAAATAACAATTGTCCTAATTGCTGTGCAATTATATTCAGGTATTTATCCTAAAAGTCGGAGATATTATCACAAAAACTTACTATGTAACCAATCTTCAGCGCCCATTTTAATATAAGTAATTAAACTATTAATATCGTTTTTATCAGTATTGTACCTCTATTAGTGTTTAATCAAATGCAATTGTATGTCTCTCTATGCTTCGACTGTTTGTGAACACCGTGAAAATCTGAGAGAAATTAAAACAGGTATTATCATCAAATCTTTCGCCAATCCAAAAGATGGAAATTTCTAGTCAGTAAAAGAAAGACCGACAAAAACTATCGCCTCTGTCTTGTTTTATCATGTCTTCTTTTTTTATAAACAATATTAACGAAATTCAATTAGTTATGCTACATTTTTCTTTGATATCTTAAAATATAAAAATCTATTTTTGCCATTTCTTTTTAATTTCAAAGCTTTTAATAGCTTAATATTTTGCATTTATCTTAATACGGTTTATTTTTCTCCGATGGATTACACTGATAATAGACGCTGGTTTGACCTCAATATTTAGCCGTTAATTTAAATATTTATATCTACGTGAGACGTCTTCTATGTACTATGTCCCTTCATAACGTTGTACAAATCATGGCTCTCCACACCTTCCTGTTCTTTATAGCTTGTCCTGTGTATGACTATAAACTACATCCGGTAATAAGGCCTCTATCAGGAGATTGAAGGTTTTAAGGAGGGTGAGACCACCTCTTAGTTGCTGTTGTTTTCATCTCCTCTCTGACTCGGAGTGATATTTAGTTACCCCCCACCACGAGGGTTACATATGGCACAAGGCCGGGTTTAATGTGGGATCTCCGAGCCTGTAGGCTCGGCTAAAAATACACCCTCTCTGAACCCGCATAAACGGGTTCAGGGGCAGTCAACCACACCGAACGAGACTCTGCCCTTCGGCGAAGCCTCGTCTGGTTCCTCCCCGCCCGAAGGCAGAGAGTTAGGCTGTTAGCTCTACCCCGGAGTGGTAGCATCTATTAGGGTCCGAGCTATGGGCAAAAAGTGAACCCTCCAAAACAAAATCAAAACACTATGAAAGTCTCAAAATACATTTTTATAGTAAAAATATCAGTAATACATTTTTTTTAAATATTACCAATAATCCACATGAAATAATTCTTTCTTTTCATGGATATATCCATATATCCTACAATTTCTTAAAGAAATCAAACTGTATTCCAAAATATAACAAAGCTACAATATAAAATACACATATCTCCTCTAGCAATTATGTCCACACAAATATATGTATCATCTACCATGTATGCTACTGTGAAAGCAGAATAATATACATCATATATTTATTACTTCAAAGCTTCCAAGAAGATTAAATTTCAGTATTAAATGACCCATATGCAGTTGATATACCATTAAAACAATCAAATCGAGATTTTACAATTCTTAGAAAATTTTATCCTCTTCTGCTATCTCTCCTAACCCCTGTTCTGCCAACTGTTAGCTTCTTCTTCTTCTTCGTGAACTGTCATGGCTTTCCACAACCTCCCGTGCTTTGTAGCACCTACTAAATTTTGTCGTTTTATTGTATTTTTTAATCCCTGTTCTGTCAACTATTTACACAATGTCGGGGGTAGATTTTTTTTTTGGCATCCCTCCCTCTCACTTGCTTTCAGTATGCCCCATGAGTGTCAAATTTTCCAAACCTTCTTTCATGAGCATGTGTTCTACGAATTTCACTTTTCTCCTTCTGATGTAAAATATAAATGTACCTTTTGTTTCCATTTTTCCTGAAGCTTTGTTTATTGCTCACATGTTCAGTCCATGGTATTCTCAGCATCCTTCTGTAGCACCACATTTCTGTCGCCTCAAGTTTCTTCATCTGTGAGGAGATTGTCCAGCATTCACTACCGTATAGGAGGATCGATATTACATAATATTTCAGTCGTCCCAAATATTATAATCCAAAAAGACCGTTCACTCTTCCAACGTTCTTCATCTATCTATCTATCTATTACAGCCTGTTCCTATCTATCACTATCTATCTTTCTTCATATCTATCTATCTATCTATCTATCTATTACAGCCTGTGCCTATCTATCTATCACTATCTATCTTTCTTCATATCTATCTATCTATCTATTACAGCCTGTTCCTATCTATCTATCACTATCTATCTTTCTTCATATCTATCTATCTATCTATCTATATCAGTCTCTTCCTATCTATATTTCTATCTCAACTTGTTGACATCGATCACAGCTTGTACACATCTATCTATATCTATCTATGATAAGATAACTAACAAATATGAGACTTTTATTAATCTAACATGTTTCAATTTTATTAAATCTTCATCAGAGAATGAGATATGAAAAAAAAACGAGAAATGCTGGTATTTTTACTTTTGTGTTGTTTGATTTTCATTGGTTAATCAGGTTTCATGTGCATCCGACTTTTTAAAGCAAAGTTAGTATAATTCTAAATTCAAGGAGAGATGACACGTACTTTCGAGGTTGCAACAAATTAATGGATTCCAATCCTAATTGAAAATCCGTAATTATTGATGCATTTATGTACGTATATAATAATTCTAGTTTGTCTATGTGGGATTTAGATGATAATGCATATTCGTAAGTGTGGGCGTGTGTGTTTGTGCGTGTGCGTGTGTCTCTGTGTGTGTGGATATTATATTTTTTTTAGTTTTACGCATGTTGAATTTGGGAACATTTTTACGTACATAGCATTTGTTTTAGATAAACATACGTTAGATTCTTTAAGAATGGACTCAATAAAGTTTGGTGATATAATATGATTTTGACGTGTGTTTATAGTTGGTAACAGTGTTATTAGTAGGCTCTCAAAGTACTTTCTACGTAAAGAATTATGTTTCTGTTTTTTTTTTGTTGTTTTTTTTAAATTCGGGTGGCATTAGTAAAATCAAAGTTATGCCCGGTTTTGTTCTTGTGTAATAGGAGCGTGTTTGAATGGTATTCTAAAATGTATATAAAAAATGAAAATCAAATAAGTAAAAATACCCGAATTTCTTTCTTCTTATTCTCCATATCCCATTCTCTGATTAAACTTTAATAAACGCGAAACAAGTTAGAGTGATAAACGTTTCGTATTTTTTCTTTATCTTTTCATTCTGTCGAATTCTGATCCATATTTGATCTATATTTGATCCCAATTCATTATGATCTTTATGCGTGTCATCTCTCTTTGATTTCAGAACGCCATAAATTATACACACGAACGCTGCCAACAAGTCAAATGTACATGAAGCCTGCTCAACCAATGAAGATCAAACAACGCAAAAAGAACTAGATGAAGCTTAATAAAGTGGAAACAACAGTTTTTTTTTATCTCCGTATCTCCATATTTATCTGATTTGAAGCTTTAATGTGTCAAAAGTGAAACGAACGCTTTTAGAAGCCCGTGAAAATCAAACAATACAAAAATAAAAAAACAAAATGTCTTTCCCTATTTGAACTTTATCTTATCAAAGCGATGTCGGATACTTTCTGATTCTATATTTATTCTGTATTTGATCCACATTTGATCCGCATTTTCAATGATCTTTATACGTGTCATCTCTTCTTGATTTTTAGAACGCCATAATTATACACATGAACGCTGCTTAACATGTCAATGTATCAAACCTGCCCAACATGAAAATCAACAATGCCCAAAATGTCTTTCGCATTCTCCATATCTCATTCTTGATGAAAATAAAAGTGAAACAACACAAAATAAAAAAACAAATGTCTTTCAAATCTTTATTCAAACAAGTCTTGATAAAGACAACCAAAAATATACGTCCTTTGTGATTTTTAATAAGTTTTTACTATCAGTTGATTAATTTCTGTATCTTGATGGTGAAGAGCCGACTTCGTGTTAGTTCTTGTCCATGTTCCCACTCTTCACCTAGCTTCGATCATTACCAGTTCGATACCTGTCGCTTCGATGACAGTAATCTTCAAATCTAAATAGTTTATCCACTTAAAGTAATGCTTTTAGTAGAAAATATATTTCGTTTAAACACAGAAAGAATTCTAAAAATGATTTCACGCCATGATAATATTTTCCTGTTAACCAGGCATTATTGCCAGACAGAAAGTAAAACTAATCCTCGTGACACAGATGCCTATTATCATTTCATTTAAATTGTCTGCGTGTGCGACTGAATGGTTTAATTCGATGACAGACCAAAAAAATATTTATATGAATTAAATACTTATATAAATTATTATACAAATTATAAATTAAATATTTATATAATTTATTATATAAATTATGACATAAATATTTATATAAATAAAAATATGTATAGAAATTATTATTCAAATTATAAATTAAATATTTATATAAATTTAATATTTATATGAATTATTATATAAATTATTAATTAAATATTTATATAAATTATAATATTTATAAAAATTATTATATAAATTAAAAATTAAATCTGTCTATATTTCTGAGATGATGGCACAGTAGATAAAGGCGTTGGTTAGATCCAGTGACAGGACCCAAAGATTGTGAGTTCAATACCTGGTTAAGGCAGTGGAGAACTTTCAGAGAGAGGGAAATTAGCAGGAGATAGCTGACATCCATCAAAAACATGTTACGTGGAACTAGAACAGTCTACCCCAGTGAGCAAAATAAAGGATTCAGTTCGACATTCCAACCACCTGAAGAAGGCCAGAGCGTACAACGGCCGAAACGTTGTGATAAATATGGCGACAAAGATGAGGACATTAGTCCGAATAATGTAAATATTTATATGAATTATTTATATAAATTAAATATAGAAATTATAAATTAAATATTTATATAAATAATAAATTATATAAATATTTAATTCATATAATTATTTAAACTATTATATAAATTATGACTTAAATATTTATATAAATTGAATATGTATATAAATTCTAAATAAAATATTTATATAAATATAGTATAAATTATTAATTAAATATTTATATAAATTAAATGATTATAGAAATTATAAATTAAATATTTACGTATTAAAATAAAAGAGCTTTGAAAGTTAATTCGATTTATTACTGAATAATATCTGAAAATTCCAATAAAATCTTTTTTAAAAATAATTTATTATTTTACTTCAAATACGATATTTCTTATTTTGTTGTTCCTCCCACGGATAAGTGGGGGAGGAATGTACTCACCCAACTTCCTATTTGAAACTCAAATTGTGTGAGTATGTGTATGTGCATATTAAATGGCACAAGCATATGGAAGTCATATAAACTAAGACATATACATACACATTACGTACACGTATTACATTACGCATACACATTATGTACACGTATGCAAAGTCAAGCACTGCCGTTGTTTGACGGACAGAACACCACATTTTCTTTTATTATATATGTTTTCTTTCTTATAAAACTCGTAAGCAATAAAAAATATATTTTATATCTGCAGTCTCATCCCAGATTTAATTCAATGACAGAACTAACAAAAAAATTCAACAAATTATAAAAAAACAATAAAAATTCTGGGCTGGTACACCGCCTATATATCTCGAGATTCTTGACAAAATCCGAAGAAGGGTCTGCAATGTTATCGGTCCTGACCTGGCATCTTGACATCAGTCACTTACTCACCGCCGGGACGTTGCCTTCCCTCTGTCTTTTCTACAACTATTTTTCGGGGCGCGGTGGAGTAATGGTTACGGAGTAAACTCAACACTGGGCAAAAATAAGCGACAAGTTATTTTGCCTTCAATTGTTACTATGAGCAATATTTAGGAGATGGAGGTGGTGACGAAAGATAGATAGATAGATCTAGCAAAATATATATATATATATATATATATATATATATATATATATATAGATAGATAGATAGATAGATAGATAGATACACCTAGTGAGCCAGACAAACCTACTGGTTTCCACCAAACGGATTGTCAGGAAAGTTTGGCTGACGAGGCAAAGAGAAACACATATTTATATATATATATATATATATATATATATATATATATATTATTTTTAAAATAATTATATATATATATATATATATATATAATTATTTTAAAAAACATTTTACCTGGCTCTTTTTAGGTTCATACATTAGGTTTGCTTACTTAGTGTATTGAGCACTTTATATAGTTACTTTTTGTAAAAGATATATATATATAATATATATTTGTAGTGAAAAAAAAAATATATATGTGAAGTCAAAATATATATATATATATATATATATATATGTCAAAATATATATATACATATAGTAAAAAAAAATATATATAGTCAAAATATATATATATAGTCAAAATATATATATATATATATAGTCAAAATATATATATATATATATATATATATATACTAGCAGTAGAGACCGGCGTTGCCCGGGGATGTAACAGTAAGAGATAGATCAAGTATCGACCATCATAAAGACTGAAAAATAAAATTGACAAGGATTATTGTTTAAGGTTGACGGACACGCATGTCTTAATTAGTTTTTTTTTTTTTTTTTTTTTACGAATTGGTCAAACCCAAACTCAAACAAAACATTGTTTTCAATCGTTATGATTGAATAGAATAATTTTATAAACAATTTTCTTGTAAATGGAATTTTTAAAGTCCCTCTGAATGTAAAAATAAAGAAAAAGTGTGCAAGAAAATAAGAAAACTACCTAAAAAAAAAGTGAAGTTTTGTTGAAATTGTTGAAAATGTAGGTAGCCTTTTGTAATCTTTTTTAGTTTTACAATTTATGATTTTTTACTTATTGAATACAGTAAAAATAAATTGCATATTTTGCTTGTGGTGATTCATAATTAGAATTTGATTTGAATATATTTTCCACTCGTTGTTTCTAATACAAAAAAATATTAACTTTATTTTGGGTTTATTAATTATGATCTAACAAATCTTAATCATTTAGTAGCCTTTCTGTAATAATAATCTTTTACAATTTATGATTTTTACTTATTGAATACAAAAAAAAATTGGGCACCATGTTAGTATTTAAAGTAGTTTCCAATTCCGGTTATTATTTTAGTTAGGACTTTGTATGTTTCCATTTCATTATCTTTCCCTAAAGATAAAGAATTTATTCCGATGTTTGTATTCGTACAATCAGTAGAGGTCGTTAGATTATTGTTTAAGGCATCTTTTTTCGCATGTCTTAATTAGCTTTTATTTTCTTATTTTTTACGAATTGGTCAAACCCAAACTCAAACAAAAAACGTTGTTTTTAATCGTTATGAGTCTCCAATTGAATAGAATTTTATTATAAATAATTGTCTTGTAAATGGAATTTTAAAGCATTCTGGATGTTAAAATAAAGAAAAAGTATGCAAGAGAATAAGAAACACACCTGCCAAAAAAAAAAAAGTGAAATTTTGTTTTATTGGCTGAAAATACAGGGAAATCCGATGTGAGTTGTCCCCTTCCATTTTCACGATGTCTCTTAATCGTGTTTTCAAATTGATTTTGTGCAAAAACAATTATATTTTTCCCATTTTTGGCGCTGTTAGAACCACCAAAAGTAATTTTATGTAGTCCTGTGAAGTTTTGATGAAATCGGTTGAAAATGTAAGAAATCCGATCCAATATATAAACGTTACAGACACACACACACACACTGCGTTTTATAATAAGTAAGATATAGTTTATATATATATATATATATATATATAGTCATATATATATATATATATATATATATAGTCAATATATATATATATATATATATATATATATATATATATATATATATATATATATATATATATAGTCATATATATATATATATAATAATATATATATAGTCAATATATATATATATAAATATATATATATATATAGTCAATATATATATATAATATATATATATATATATATATATAGTCAATATATATATATATATAGTCAATATATATATAGTAATATATATATATATATATATATAGTCATATATATATATATATATAGTCAGTATATATATATATATATATATATATATATATATATATATATATATAATTATTTTAAAAAAATTTTTACCTGGCTCTTTAGGTTCATAGTTAGGTTTGCTCTACTTAGCGCATTGAGCACTTTACATAGTTACTTTTGCTTTTTTGCTGTTTTTTTAAACTTTGAGCTTTGATTCTGGACGATTGTTTTCGCCTCAATTTCATGTTCTTAGTTCTTTCTTTTTTTATTCCTCATTTTTCCTTGGGTATTGGTTTGTATTACTTTTATTTCTATGCCATCTTCATATATTTAAATATTATTATTATTATTATTATTATTATTATTTGCTTTCTGTTCAAACCAATCTCTTATCGAATCGCTACCCGAGGCCTGGGATAAGGCAAGGTTGTAAATATATGCACTTTCTTTACATAAATTTTAACGTTGAATGAAATGGTACAAACACATATTTACTAAATTCGACATCTTTACTTCTATTGATCAGAATATTCTTCTTTGTAGATGACCAATTCCACACGGCGACATTTTTTTTCTTATAAGCTGGGACTGCCAGGGATTTTGTTAATGTTCATGCCAGTACCTTTTTTTTATCGTACTCAGTACTCCAGTTATTATAGCTTCAATTTCAAGATCCTCAATTTGTCATATTCTTAAACAGATATTTTTATCTAATATATACATACATACATATATATCATGAGTAACTCTCAACCTTCACGTTCATTTTTTTTCTGTTTTTAAGGCAAACATTGTTAAAGACAATAGACATTTTGTATTGATTAATTTTCTTGATTAACTATTCAGAATTAGGTCAGAAATTGTCTGAAGTTCATTTCGGACGAAATATTATCCGGTGTTTCGATTTTCTTAAGTCATCATCAGGATAGGTTAAGACAAATGGTGATTGTTGTGACGCAGGCAAGACATGAGATGTGGTTTATTTTATTTGTCTCTATTTGAAGAGGCACGTTCTTAAATTAACGTTGTGTTTATTTAGACATCGGTACTTTTTGTAGTATGAATATTGCTTCGAGGATCATAAATCTGTTTTTTACATTTTGTTTTAGCTTATATTTTGCTTTTCTTTCAGAGTAGCTGGCTAATATTACGATGATCCTTATGCTGCTTATTAATGGCGTGTCTGAAGGCACTTTGTGACAGCGTCGTTGTGGTATATCCTACGAAAGAATTATGGAGATTTTTTTTTTTTTTCAGAAAACTTTCTCCGAGTGGACATGCATATCCATACACAACATTGGTCTTTTATAGGGGTGGGGATGAACGTTTGAGATATATTATTTTCTTATATTTTCTATATTTCTGTACATCCTTGCCTTTTATTTGTCTTATGTTTTCTTACATATTATTCATTCCGTTTTGGCATATGTTCATATGTTCTATTTATCTATTTATCTATTTCTTTCAGTCTTTTTATATCTATCTATCTATTTATCTATTTCTTTCAGTCTTTTTATATCTATCTATCTATTTATCTATTTCTTTCAGTCTTTTTATATCTATCTATCTATTTATCTATTTCTTTCAGTCTGTTCATATCTATCTATCTATTTATCTATTTCTTTCAGTCTTTTTATATCTATCTATCTATTTATCTATTTCTTTCAGTCTGTTTATATCTATCTATCTATCTATCTCTTTCAGACTATTCATATCTATCTATCTATCTATCTCTTTCAGCCTGTTCATTATCTATCTATCTATTTCAGCCTGTTCATTATCTGTCTATCTATCTATCTAGCTCTGTTCATATCTATCTATCTAAGTCTGTTCATACCTGTCTATCTCTCGATCTATCTATCTCTTTCAGTCTGTTCATATCTATCTTTATATCTATCTATATATCTATCTATATATCTCAATCTGTTCATATCTATCTATCTATCTATCTATATATCTTAATCTGTTCATATCTATCTATCTATCTATCTATATATCTTAGTCTGTTCATATCTATCTATCTATCTATATATCTTAGTCTGTTCATATCTATCTATCTATCTATATATCTTAGTCTGTTCATATCTATCTATCTATCTATATATCTTAGTCTGTTCATATCTATCTATCTATCTATATATCTTAGTCTGTTCATATCTATCTATCTATATATCTTAGTCTGTTCATATCTATCTATCTATATATATCTCAGTCTGTTCATGTCTATCTATCTTTCTATATATCTCAGTCTGTTCTTATCTATCTATCTCATTCTGGTCTATATTTATTAATGTTATTTTTTCATATCTCCCAGTCCATCATTTATTTCACTGTCTCTATATTTTTTCTTCCCTCCTCCCTGTCGCCTTCTCTTTCTATTTTCCTTTTCTTTCTCCTCTCCGTCATCAGTCTGTGTGGAAAGGAGAGATTTGCCACTTGTCTATTTCGGTAAAGCACTGACATGAGTCAGCCGAGGGCAAATGTTCTTTTTTTTTTTCCTCCTCCTATCACATCTTCAATGACACATAAAATCCGATAGACAGATATATGGCGCGTCAAAATACGTGCACAGTCAAGTAGAAATATTTTAATATTTGTCTCTTTACATTTCACTATATTGCAGAAAGCAAAAAGGAAAGAAAAAAAAGCAAAACAATCGCAGCTTTTACAGTTGCCTATTGCTTTGCAGGCTGTTGCCTTGTGAATAAGATAGTTGTGTGCTTCAAGCAGACACCAATGATCGATATTTGGGCCTCACCAGATTTCGAATACAGACTGCCAAGGTAGGAGAACACGATCAAGTTAGAATACAGGCGCTAGACATTCTTCTGGAGCACAATTTTATCTTACAGCAGACGACCGAAAACAAATCTAATTTGTTACAGTTTGAGTGTAAACTTTTTGCATATATTACGTAAGAATTTATATAACATTGCCACTGCTACTAATAATAATACTATTATTCTTCATTAAAACGTTATTTATATTTAGACAGCAAATAATAAAATGCTGTTTAAAATACGCACATGATATCTTGTTGAGATTTAAAAAGAGCGATTTGCAAATAGATTATTTATATAAAATAAAGGCATTGCAACACGTGTGTAAAAGGCAAATCAATGTTTATATCTCAGTGTGTCTCTGTTTCTTTCTTTCTGCTTTGACATCTTCATATTTATCTATCTATCTATCTGAGTCTATTTATTATCTATCTCAGTGCTTCTCAAACAATCTGATTTGGCTTACCGGCATTTTTTATTTCTCAATGTGTCACGTACCTGTAATATTTCGTGGTAATATTAATTTATACTGAAAAAAATATATATATATATATATATATATATATATATATATATATATATATATATATATATATATATATATATATAAAAGTTGACTTTTTTTATCTTCCATTTATGTCGGAAAAAATAATGCCATATCAAAATATATAAAAAGTAATAAACAAAAATAAGCTTCGAATGATTCCTTACCATGGTCTGGACATTGGCTGCGTACCGGTACCTGAGGGTTCGCGTACCGGCACCGGTCTACGGACCACCACACTTGAGTAGAATTGATCTATCTATCTATCTTCTTCATTATCAATCTGTCTATTCATTATCTATCTATCTGTCTGTCTCTTTCTGTTCGTATCTATCTATCTATCTATTTGTTTCTTTCTGTTCGTATCTATCTATATGTCTGTCTCTTTCTGTTCGTATCTATCTATCTATCTATTTGTTTCTTTCTGTTCGTATCTATCTATATGTCTGTCTCTTTCTGTTCGTATCTATCTATCTGTTTCTTTCTGTTCTCATCTATCTATCTATTTGTTTCTTTCTGTTCGTATCTATCTATATGTCTGTCTCTTTCTGTTCGTATCTATCTATCTATCTATTTGTTTCTTTCTGTTCGTATCTATCTATATGTCTGTCTCTTTCTGTTCGTATCTATCTATCTATCTATTTGTTTCTTTCTGTTCGTATCTATCTATCTATTTGTTTCTTTCTGTTCGTATCTATCTATCTATTTGTTTCTTTCTGTTCGTATCTATCTATCTATTTGTTTCTTTCTGTTCGTATCTATCTATCTATTTGTTTCTTTCTGTTCGTATCTATCTATCTATTTGTTTCTTTCTGTTCGTATCTATCTATCTATTTGTTTCTTTCTGTTTGTTCGTATCTATTTTTTCTTTCTTTGTTTCTTTCTGTTCTATCTATCTATCTATCTATTTGTTTCTTTCTGTTCGTATCTATCTATCTATTTGTTTCTTTCTGTTTCGTATTGCATCTATATGTCTGTCTCTTTCTGTTCGTATCTATCTATTCCTCTCTATCTGTTTCTTTCTCTAATCTATCTATCTATTTGTTTCTTTCTGTTTCGTATCTATCTATCTATTTGTTTCTTTCTGTTCGTATCTATCTATCTATCTATCTATTTGTTTCTTTCTGTCCGTATCTGCTATCTATTTCTTTCTATCTATTTGTTTCTTTTGTTGTTTCCGTATCTATCTATCTGTTTCTTTTTTTGTTCTCATCTATCTATATGTCTGTTTTTCTTTTCTGTTCATTCGTTCTATCTATCTATTTGTTTCTTTCTGTTCGTATCTATCTATCTATTTGTTTCTTTCTGTTCGTATCTATCTATCTATCTATTTGTTTCTTTCTGTTCGTATCTATCTATCTATCTATTTGTTTCTTTCTGTTCGTATCTATCTATCTATCTATTTGTTTCTTTCTGTTCGTATCTATCTATCTATCTATTTGTTTCTTTCTGACTGTTCGTATCATCTATCTATCTATTTGTTTCTTTCTGTTCGTATCTGTCCATCTATCTATTTGTTTCTTTCTGTTCGTATCTATCTATCTATCTATTTGTTTTCTTTCTGTTCGTATCTATCTATTTATCTATTTGTTTTCTTTCTGTTCGTAAATCTATCTATTTGTTTCTTTCTGTTCGTATCTATCTATCTATCTATTTGTTTCTTTCTGTTCGTATCTATCTATCTATCTATTTGTTTCTTTCTGTTCGTATCTATCTATCTATCTGTTTCTTTCTGTTCGTATCTATCTATCTATCTGTTTCTTTCTGTTCGTATCTATCTATCTATCTATCTGTTTCTTTCTGTTCGTATCTATCTATCTATCTGTTTCTTTCTGTTCGTATCTATCTATATGTCTGTCTCTTTCTGTTCGTATCTATCTATCTATCTATTTGTTTCTTTCTGTTCGTATCTATCTATCTATCTGTTTCTTTCTGTTTGTATCTATCTATCTATCTATTTGTTTCTTTCTGTTCGTATCTATCTATATGTCTGTCTCTTTCTGTTCGTATCTATCTGTTTGTTTCTTTCTGTTCGTATCTATCTATCTATCTGCTTCTATCTATCATCGTCTCTTCATATCACACTTATTTTTTCATCTTGACTTTGTCAAATTAAATTCAAATGAGAAATATATCTATGTAATTATAATTTATATAGTTACACAGTAACATGCAATTTCTGATAGCAATGTGTCATTCATATACATATATACATAAATATATATAAATATATATATAAAAATATAAACACATATACAAACATTATATATATATATATATATATATATAAAGAAGTGATGGATTTTTATATATTAATCAGATTGATTTTATTGCTGAAGGTTATTATGTTGGAAACCAATAATGGATAGACGCTCCGTTCATTTATTAATTTTAATATATATACATATATATATATATATATATATATATATATATATATATATATATATATATATATGTATGTGTGTGTGTGTGTGTATGAAGAAATATAATTTTAAGGTGTGCTATATTAATGGGATAAAGTGCTCAATATCAGAGATAGAACGTGTGTAAATATAAATATAAAAGTGAACATAGAAGTCAACACTCAGTGTGGCCTGACGATTGCGTTTCATTCATATCTGCTCAATGCGTATCCAAATGTAAACAAATAAAATATAAACATAAAAAATGTCTTAAAATAATTGTCGGACTTTGTCCATTTCATAATGTGTGACGTCATTTGTTTACATTTGGATACACATCAAACAGATATGATTGTATGAGAGAAAATCATAGAGAATTGTGTTAAAAACAGTAAAATTGACCTTGATAACCGAACGCTCCGCTGTTGCCAAATCGGTTAAGGCACGTCAGGCTATATGATCGTTGCGTATCGGATATAGGTTCAATTCCTGTCAGAGGACGCATATTTTCTATGACAATTACTCGGATATTCAGGCCGGTAAATGTTGTTAATACTGTTTATTATAAACAGTGCATTTACTTAAGCATTTGTATCTATGAATAGAAAGTATAAGCATAAAAATGTCTGAAATAATTGTCGGACTGTCCATTTCATATATATATATATATATATATATATATATATATATATATATATATATATATATATATATATATATATATATATATATATATATATATAGTAAAAATTTATTACGCTCTTCCGACGATAGCTTGTGGGTAGGATCTCTGACTGATGCAAAATCAGTCGGATTTCGATCCCAGCTCGAAGCAATTCGATGTCTAGCCACACTGATGAGCTGTGATACATCGAAACAGTCTGTCTGTGGATGACATATATATATATATATATATATATATATATTCAGCTTTAATTAAATCCTTATTTAGCTTTATTATCCGAAATCGCTCGGGTCAATAGAACATTTGTATAATTTTTATATATGTGCATGCATATATATATATATATATATATATATATTGTGTATTTAGGCAGCAATCCCTCCTTTATACATGTTTCATTAAAGACGACAGACAAGATACTGCGATTAAGATTTTTAGTTAAATTTTCTTGCGTTTGAACAAAAAGTGTTTTCTTTTCTGGATACAAAGTTTGTAGAAACTGTTCAATTGTTCTGTAATTCACTTAGAAATATCATAAAGAAATACACTACACCAGTTGACTCGAACAAAATCCTCAAATCACCTACTACAAAAAATTTAAAATGGCTAACTTTATCCTCAAAAATAATAACATACCAGCAAAGTCAAAATTACAACGAATGAGTTCAAATGCCCCTTAAGGAACTGTGTTCCTGATCAAAGCGAATTCATAAATAATTACATCGGTCACACAACTACATGCTTATCTAGACGCCTTGCATTACACCTATCTGACCACAGCTCTATTAGAATCCATTTAAGCATACACACAAACTTACCAGACTTCATCCGAAACATACTAGTAGAAAATACAAACATAATAAACTCATCCACATATTAAAAAAAAAGATTAAAAATAATGGAAGCCTTAATAATAAAAAAAGAAACAGCTAACACTTAATAATATTAACTACGAACACGGCCACAATGTGCTGACTGTGTTCGGAAAATAAAATAACCCTATAAATCTAAAAATATACGCACAACCGATGCACCCATTAAAAATGCAAAAATAAAATCGTCTTTGATAATGGCTAAAAGTATTGACGAAAGCGATCGGAAAAATAGACCATTTCGACAGTTTCTACACACTCTGTGTCCAGAAAAGAAAACACTTGTTCGAACGGAAGAAAAATTAAATAAAAACTTAATCATAGTACCTTGTTGTCTTTAATGAAACATGTATAAATGAAGGATTGGTGCTTAAATACACAATTATCATATATATATATATATATATATATGTGTGTGTGTTCACTATATTATATATATATATTATACATATAATATATATATATATATATATATATATTATACATATATATTATACATATTTACATTAGTCGGACTATTGTCCTCATCTTTATCGCCATATTTGTCACAACGTTTCGTCCGTTGTACGCTCCGGCCTTCTTCTGGTGGTTGGAATTTCGAACTGAACCCTGGGGTAGACTGTTCTAGTTCCACGTTTGATGGATGCCAGTTATCAGTTATCTCTAGCTAATTTTCCCTCTGAAAGTTCTCCACTGCCTTAACCGGGTATTGAACACACACTCTTTGGGTCTGTCACTGGATCTAACCCTTTATCCTTTATCCACTGTGCGCTATATATATATATATATATATATATATATATATATATATATATATATATATATATACCAATTTTCATAAGCTGGTATTCATATAAATACAAATTTTATTGTCACCTCATTATGCACAATAATGGATTATATTCAATA